CACGCCTTCACGGACGGAGTGAATGCAAGTTGGCTTCCTTTCGGGAGGTCATCAAAATGAACGTAGGAAGCTTGGGTTACCCTTTCGTTCTTCCTATAATTTGGGAAGCCACTTCCTGCGCAAGTAGTCATAGATCTACCTTCTGGTATAACCGAATGACTCTGTACAGTATTTTATAGAAAAAACAAAAGTCGAAGGAACCAAATACGCCACCATAATTATGTTGACTTGCCCTAAAAGAAACATGCTGAGAACCTGGACTCAAAGATGGAGACTTGCCGAACAAATTCCACATGAGCATAGGGTCGATGATAGCGTACATATCTTGTACATATCTATCACAGTCCTCTGGACAGCTGCAAACAGGCTGGCCCATGGCAACATATACTTATGTCTGGTAGTTCCGCCTCTGCCAGTTGCCCTAATTGTATTAGACCTTTGGCGTTTTAACTCAAACAAACAAGTACATTTGTGGTATGCTTGAAAAAGCATTTGACTCCGCTCACGGCTCCTCCGAATAACGTAATATACAAAAACCTACACATCTGTCAGGGGTCCTTTTCTTCTCCGGGGTCCACCGGATGATCTTCTGAGATGTGTTCCGAGTTTTCAGGGTCTTCCTGCTCCTTTAAAACCTGGGGTGTCTCCACATCCAACAGTTTTACGTCATCCGCGCCAGAGGCATCTACAAGGAATCGGCAATTGAGTATGAGCACTGATACGGAAGTATCGAAGAGGGCACGTTATACGATACAAAATTGGACAAGAATACTTGATAAACGACACATTGGCCATACCGCCTACACTGAACTAAGAAAAGCCCTTGCTTATGTAAGTTGTCCGTTAAAGATAAAGTATAATCTAATACCCTCTGGTTTGTGCTTAAACCGTCATTGACCTGCTACTTAAAAAGTTTCAGTAACACATTTTGACGGGTTCAGCGTTTTGCCTTACAGCGCAGCCATTGACAGACATTTGATGTTTACTAACACTTCTCTTGATGCTATTTTGTCGTAGCCAGAGGGCCGGCCTATATATTAGTCACACAAGGACATCATCATATAAATCGAACTTCAACCTGGCCTTTAACATTTAAAAAATACTTGATGGCATTTTATTTGATAAAAGGGGACTATCACAACAAGATTTCCTATTGCCAGCATTGTAGACCAGTTCCTCACTCTTGTCTGTTTTCATACTGTTTCGCAGTGTTCCGCGACAACCTACTCAAACGCGTGTCATGCCACCACAAATTTCTACGACTTAATATTGACCATAACAATGATATGGTTACTTTAAATTAATGGGGTTCTGAAGGGCATTCCTTGCCTGTAACCCTTCAAATATACATATGACTACTGGAACTCGGTTGTTCATCCCATCTATCTGGTTAGAGCACATACTTGTCCCGGAAGTGCCTTGAGGCTCATACTTGAGCGATATCAGGCTGTCGCTTAGCGACCTCAGAATACGATAGAGTGGGTCCGACAAAGCAAACGGAGACCAAAATGGCAATTTCTGGCTTGCTAGCCGTCATCAGCCAGTCGAACCCAATCTCAAGGTTCGGAACGCCCGAGATTCGAACCCGGGACATTTGGTCATTGAGGTTAACACTTTACCTCAGCACCACGGGCTCGTTGTTTTGTCGATTATGGTCGTGATAGAGCCTCAAGACGCTTCCGGGACAAGTATGTGCCGTAACCAGATAGATCGCGTGAACCCCCTAAGTGCCATCATATTCACGATCACAACCAACAAAGCAACGAGCCCGTGGTGCGAGGTAGAATGTTAAACTCAATGATCAAAGGTCCAGGGTTCGAATCACGGGGTTCCAACCCTTCAGATTGGGTATGACTGGCTGATGACGGCTAACAAACCAGAAATGGCCATTCCGGTCCCCCTTTGCTTTGTCGTATCCACTCCTACATATAATTACTATATGTTTCTTTCTATGCTTGAAGGACGACATAAGAATACGCCAATATTGTCTTTTTAACATTTTTGTTCGCAAGTTCCGAGTCGGATAATTGACAGGCAAGCACGGAGGCATACATTAAGTTAATAAAAACGGCCCTCGTCGATTGTCCACCCCCTCCCCGGCTTCTGATTAGCTTTCTGTGTTTAAGAACCCACATCATTCGTTTGCGTGCTTCCTCACCTAACGGCGTCTGTTCACTCAAACCCCCGCCTTAACTTCTCAATTGGGAATCCGCAACTGTTCGAAACTGCGCACGGGCACGTTAACGCAGTCACTGCTACAACTAAAACATTACTGTTAGGACCCGGTAGTGACTATTTGAAAATGCCTCATTTGACACATGGGGAGACATCGCTGGCCACCGATAACGGTCTGTGGTTAAGGAAAATTAAGGCTATTTGTTGGACCAGAGGAAAGCCGTAGAGGACGTAAAAGTGTTTAGAAAAAAGAGTTAGAAACTGAAAGACTTTTCCAAAATCGGGCTTCCCACCTAAGGAGCGTCGGATCGTCGCAGAAGATCTGGGTGTTAGCGTAACCGCCTGTCTATCACTGACCTCCGCAGACTGCTGCTTCACTCGGTCGTCCCATTCTCCTTCCGATTCTCCTTCGTAAATCGCACTTGGTTCGGGGGCAGTTGGGAAGTCCTGGAGCTCGTTTTCCTGCGTCAAGGCCACTAAGCGTAACTTCTTGGTTTTGCCGTCAACTGGATCCTATTGCCACAGACCCATAGAAGAAAGCAATACGAGGCCAAATGAGGAGACCACCGCAGCATCTACTGTAGCACAACATCAATAGGAGTAGTAGTAACAGCCTGGTCTCGTGCTCACCAGACGTACTTCGCATTAACTGCCTACTTATTTCGCAGTAGTAAGCATGCCTTCGCACAACAAAGGTACGACACAGTCGACCCACATTGCATCTTCCAAACGGAAATTTTTAGCATCTTACGGTCGCTCATAGGTTTATTAGTTTCAGTTTCGTTTAGTTTTCCGCTGAGTTTTGGGGTGAAATTCTCATATGCCGGTGTCCTTTGATATATGTTCTAATATAGCTCTTATATGGAATTTAGTAGGCACAGTTAGGCTTATTACTGCACTGCTACCCGCGGGTACTTTGAATTTTGTTAGTTTTAGTGTATTGTTTGGTTTATTAATTTAGTTTAACTTATAGGTCAAGGTGGATTAACTTTCAAATTAATCTAGCTTTTAAGCAAAAAACGATTGCTTGTCAGTTTATCGTACTAAAAGATCTATCCAAATGCATGAGAAGCTATTGTGAGTTTAAAAATGAAAGAACAAAGTATCTTTCATGGTTTTACTTTAATCTCTAAAGTGCGAAACAGAGTCGATATTGGTTTGTGGTTTATTTTCAGGTAGATTTTACGCGGGGCTTGTTTCCTATTTGTTGTATTTGCCATTTTAATTATCGCGCGCAACTTTTTGGTTAGTTGAATAATTCCTTCATATTTTTTTTCTGTTTTTATACGCTAAACCTTTTAGTTCATTTTTTAAATTCCTGTGATATAGCCCAACCATAAAACCCGTAAGACACAGTAATAGGGCCAGCAATATCTTAGTATCTAAGTATAACCTCTATAGCGTTGATATAGAGCTCAGATAGAGATAGCTTAAAAGCCGCAGTCATAGACTCTATATCATCTCTATATGGAAATGATGTACAGGTGATAAAGAGAAAACTGTGAAAGTCGAAAACTGTGTCCAATTCGGCACTATTGGGCCATTTTAATTATCGCGCGCAACTATTCGGTTATTTAAATAAGCTGCACTGGACCCTAAATTATAATTTAATCACGGAAGGATAGGAAGCTTTATGAATGAACCTATCACGGTCTCAAACTATCTCATAATTAGATATTTCTCAAAACCAAAACAAACCCTTTTTTCGAGTATAACATTTGTAGAAGGCGTAATTTGCTACCAAGTAAGAAAAGAATAATATTTTTATGCATGTTTTCTAAAATCGTAAGTGAATATGTAAGGACATTGAAAGTCGCTGGGAAAAGTAATTATACCGAGTTAAGGTTTTAAAGACGGCTGAAAACAGGCTTGTGCGAAAGCCGACTGAAATATCTTAGCATTAGGCTGTATGATAATAAATAATGCAGCTCTGTTTAACTAATCTCTTGTAGTCGAAAACACATCGCAGAACTTCGGTTAAAGTTTCACAAGAGGGTGCATCTACGATACACTTCCTGAAGTTTTTTTTATTTCACGGCGCTTGGGATACAACTGTTACGGAAGACAGCCCCACAAGACGTCATTAACTTACCCACATTGCCTGTCGGTCGGACATCGTTGCGTGTCCCATCCCACCGGCAGACTGCGGACGCACTTTGTCCAGAGGTGGCAGTGAGACGGTCGACTTACGTAACCGATCCGGTGACGCGGCTCCATTTTCAATTGCAGCATAGCTAAACATGTCAATAGGGAGTGAGAGAAGATAGTCTTTAAATATGCAAAAATGCCCATCAAAGGATCTAGAGGAGCAATTAGTGAGCATAAGCGGGCCGCAGGCGTTTAGGGAAGTGGACGCCGCTCAATGACCGTTGACCATGCCAGGCGCGGAGGTTGCAGGAAGTTCTTTTGTGCACACACAAGACCGGCGTCCTCAACCTGATAGCGGTCGCTTCTGCGGTTGCTTGCAGACGCTGACCCAGGGACTTGGGGTAGTTTGGTGAGCTCTTAGAAATCATCTGTAAGGCTTTGCTGAGGGGTCCATACGATGTCCGCAATCAAGAATGTGCACGAGAATAGCAATCTTTATGCTTGTGATTTCACCTTTTCTCAGCCCTGCCGGAACGTGTTTCCTTATTTTCTTTGGTAGACACCGACTCGTGCGACCAATCTAACCTGCTCTACAGGAGCAAGTAGATTAATAGATGCACATGGAGGTGGTCGGAGCTGGCATCCTACTCGTCTCTTATCAACCCCCTTTCCCGTAGTGACTATGACCTTTCTGTACAAATTCAATTTCGTTATTTTCTCATTGGTGAACTTTAACAAACTGAGTGGATGCAACTGACGAGCACTCATGAAATTTTATGGATCCATTAAATTTTGCATTAATCACTATTTTCAAGTTCTCACCGGGAAAATTATGCTTCAAATTTCCCTATTCCCACGACTCACTTGGACAAAAAGACGAAAAATACTGACCACATGTTTTAACCGGTATCTAATTCCCATATAGATGCACTGGTACAACGCGCATACTCGCTAAGTATTGTTTTTAAAATAGTCTATGTCATTAAAATACACACGTCATGCCGGTTTCGTCAGTGGCGTGATGTGTAAAATTGTGTGGAATTGTGCATAAGTTCATCGACATAAGTACTCCTTCAAGCGTACCACATGGGACGTTGGCCCAATTCCGGTGGAGGTACCGTGGCCTAATTTTACCACAAACGCAAACCTTTACTCCACTAGGGGTCTTGCACGTCACTATTCCCCTCGTCAGCAACCTCGATCCGCTTCCCCTATGCATCGTGATCCTCTCGGAACCGAGTGTCTTCCCTTATACGGAAAACTATCTTGAAGCACACGTTCTAAACCACCTCCGGTTCGCCTGCCCTCCGCCTTCATCAGGATCTAGTTTCGGCCACTGGGATGTCGTGGCTCATCTCGACTGTCAGTTTCACTATGGGTTAATCCTGAGTGGGCTTCCTGTGCGCACTAAAAGGACACTTCCTACCCTAAATAGCCGCAGTTAACCCTAATAATCAAGCTATCGTGCTCTTTCAAACACTTTTGCGAAGGCGTTGTTGCTCCGGAATATTACATTGAAACTGCGGGTTCCACGAACGCTCCCCTCTCTTTCAATTCAAAAGTATTTATGACAGCTCCGTCCGAAGCTTATCCTTTTTTCTAAAAACCTCCAATTTAGAATTCATGCATTGTGCAAAAGGACAAATGTTCAGTGTACCCCAAAAGCCAAAAATGGCCCCCACAAGCGAAGCTTTTCCCGCCTTTTGATTTGAGCACCTGCAAACCTACTTCGAAAAGCCGGCTGAAGGTCAGTTCGTACTGGGTACCCCCTATCCTGAAACTATTTTAAACACACCTGTTAGCTATGTTATACAATCGATTTTCTCAGAGCGAAAAATAGGAAAGTCATGGGGGCCAGAGATAATATCGAGGATTATGCGCATTTGTTTGACAAAAGTGCAATACAATAGTCGCCGGCTATTAAGCCCACCTCA